TTATTTGTATTCGGTGAAATGGTAACATTTCTTTACTATGGTGCACAGATAATATTTTATAAACATGTCTGAAGAAAAATCTCCATATAGGCCCCAGCGAGGATCGAACTCGCGACCCCTGGTTTACAAGACCAGTGCTCTAACCACTGAGCTATGGAGCCAACTGTGACATATGAGGCGAAGAAAATGCTATTATCACATATGATTCATCTAGTAGTGTAGTAGTGTAAAACATTTTTAGCACTTTCTTTGACGTTGTGCGTTATGAGCCAAAGAGCATGAATATGACAATTTAAGATTTCTAATTGTGTTCTTATCTGTAAGGCCTTATTACTGCTACTATCCATTTGCACTTGGTCCACGAACCTGTCTGGGGCAGGTCTTCTCACAGGTGATGAAGCACACAACACACACACACACACACACACACACACACACACACATTTGTACCTCCCTTTCTCCTTCAGAAATTTTGGACTTACAGAACATGCAGGCTCATGTTTTGTATTCTTTTAGATGCTTGATTGATACTTGTTTGCCAAGCGCCAAATTTTCCATTGACAACTCTGCTGTCTTTCTACATTCAGATGGAGGCAAAAGTCGTGCTTGCCAAACTGCTTCAGAGATTTGAGTTCAGTCTGGTTCCTGGACAGTCTTTCGACATTAAAGACACGGGAACTCTGCGGCCCAAGAGCGGAGTGATCTGCTACATTAAACGCTGCTCATAGGACATGTTTAAGGCCCTTGTTTTGTGCCAACTGTGAATACATCACCTTCAAACATTAACCTGAGCACAGAAGTTTTAACATGCTAATCATTTATGGTACATCTGCACTTTTAATTTAATTCAGTTTTATCGTAGTCCTTCATTATGGTGATTTAAGGTTTTTGTTTAAATACATTATGTAGATTATATAAATATGATTATTATATAAACATAACAGGCTACATGCACAATGAGAATCAGCTTAATCAGTAAAAAGTGTCTGGTATATGTTTAAAAATGTCAAAATCTTAAAACATTCTGTTTATCTGATTTTAAAATGGTCTTATAAATGGGCTTATATTACACACTATTAAACACAGTGCAATAAAACATAAAAGATGGTTTGATCTTTTACAGTGTTTCATATTAGAATTAGGTGAAACTATAACATTTTTTTTACTTAAGTAAAAAGATAATATATTACGTATATGTCTGAAGAAAAGCAACCACCGTGCAGGCCCCAGCGAGGATCGAACTCGCGACCCCTGGTTTACAAGACCAGTGCTCTAACCACTGAGCTATGGAGCCAGCTGTGACATATGAGGCGAAGAAAATGCTATTATCACATATGATTCATCTAGTA